TCCTGTTTGATTCTCAAAAAAAACGCTCTTGGTAACGTTTTCTTATGTATTTTTTTTTATCACTATCACTGTTAACTTAATACTCTTCATTCCTCAAAACATTTCTTAGAGAAAATTTTACGAAAACTACATTAAATCACTCAAGTTAAAAATTAAAAATTAAAAATTTCGCTTATCGTCTTTCGACCGCAGAATATCTAAATCAAAACATTGTGATGTTCATTATACAGATTTGGCAGAAAAAATCTCCCTTCCTGTTCGTTCCTTATCATCCAAATGCAAACCACATTGTTGACGTTACTCTTATTGCTATATGCTGTCAAATGAATTTCATGGGCCAAAGTTAGGAACATAGAAAAGAAATGTGTCCCTAAAGTTGGGTCCATGATTTACTTGTGAAAACGTTGTTAAACAATTAAAATAAACATAAAATATTCAAACAGTAACTGTGAGTTTTACGTCTAGTGTGTATTATCAGGTAATTCCATTCAATAAATGCCATAATCAGGCCATTTGATGATCGTCAGTGCAACCTTCCCATCTTAACCTTAAAAGTCATGGCGGCTAAAAACTCCGAACAGAGTGATATTCTCAACCAGTTTTATTACTTACGAGAGCTGAAAATGTATTGAAATGTTGTGATATAAATTGATTTGTGTGTGGTACACATTTATCAATCATCAGTGATCAATATTTTCCTTATTTTTTGTGTAATATTCCTTAATTAATTATTTATTTGCGTGATAGGCCGAATGAAAGGACTAGACCCACATTACATACCGTAACCCTATAAGTGATTTAAGAGCAATTAAAAGATTTGAAATTTTATGAAAATCATTTTTTCTCAAGACAGTAGCCGTATACTGTTGATCGTTATTTAGTTAAAAATGAATTTCTGGAGAAAAGGATGGTCATATTTTTGAATATTTCCAGTAAAATCTTTATATAGTTGCAATGCAATGCAAAAAAGTCATCTATATTTATTTCGAAAAGTAAACAAGTTAATTCTTTAAAATAGAGTTATTATGATTTTAAGCTGCTCGTGATATTTATCAGTGTTTATATCAAACTCGTCCAAGATTTTAAAGGCTCAAAAAAGGAATCTAATCATGTTCGCCATTTATTCATCCAAAAATTGTACACGTATATAGATGATCTTATATCAATTATTTGGTGTTTTTTTTTAATATGTTCTGCCAATTGTTATTTGTCGAAATATCTTACATAACTTAAAAACTTCGCAGACCCTAAACTTCCCCATACATGTTTGATTGCGAATTTCCATACTTTAATATTCTGAATAAAACAATTGGGTGGTTTAGTTTTCAACATGTTCAACAAGTTCAAACTAAATACTCCAGTGCATGCAGACTTCTCAAAATTTTCTCGGAAAGTTTCTTTCGAATTTTCCTGGATTTCTATCTCCCGACAAGACGAAGTTGGCCAGCTTCCTCAAGAAGTTTCATTCAACTTTCTTCGAACTTCTCTGGAAGTTCTTTCCAACCTCTCAAAAAAGTTTCCATTGTCATCCACTGGAAAATTTCTGTTAATTTATTGTACACATAGTAAATTTATCGGGAATAGCATCCTGGTCGGCGTTGGCTGTCTTTATTGAATAGCCATTTATATATTAAGCTGTTTCCCAGAAAATCTATCAAGCTTTCTTAGAACTGGGAAACGTGTTGTTTTGGTGAAAATAATGGAAATTGAGTCAATTCCAACCCCGATTCCAAAAATTCACATATTGTGGGTTGATTGACAGTATTTTCCAGTTTTTCTTTAACCGGAAGCCGCCATCTTGAATTTCAAAATGGCGTCAGACTTGGGTTTCTGGTCTCTACACGTCACTCAGATTCCAAAAATACCCATATTGTGGGGTTTTTCACAGTATTTCCCAGTTTCCAAAAATAATAAAAAAAAAAACTCGTTATTTGGGATTTATTTCGTAAAAATAGGGACGTAACCTGAACATTACATAAAAAAAAAACACTTCGTAAACGGAGGTTTCAGTGTATTTATAAGCAGCTTGAAATCAAAATAACTCTTCAATTAAGCTCAAATTTGATTAATATAGTGGATTATTGTTTCAAATAAATAGTATTTAATGAGCCTGTTTGTACATAAAAAATTTCAAATATAAAATGTTTTTAAAGGAAATATGCAAAAATATTACTATTCTTTATTCAGAAAATCATCTAAAACCTTAAATTAGTCAAATATATACTGTAACGATGCGTTGAAAAAAAACTGGAAAATGCACTGTCCGAAAACTCATAAGAGAAACTTTATTTAACATGAGACCAGCCCTTAAAGAATATGTTTTGGTTTGTTTTTCTTTAATAAGTTTGAATGAAGGACATCAGTGGCGCCGATGGTGTAGTGGTAAGCGTGATTGCCTCTCACCCCCAAAAGTCCTGTGTTCAATCCCAGTCAGCGTCGCCGGGATTTTCTGAGGCACAAAATCTCTGATCGTGTCTTCCTTCGGAAGGGAAATAAAGCCGTTGGTCCCCGGTCTATGAGTTGATAGGTATGGTTCAGGTGTGGGAGCTGTCTCCCTTGATTTGGTAGCATTGGTTCTCAGTACGGAAAACAAGATCGATGGAAAAAAAAATCAAAGAACACACATTTTTTCAAGAACAACATGTGAAAAGGGCATACAAGCTTTTTGTAAACAAACCTCCTTATGCCCTTTTTTCGACATCCATATGACATCAAATCAAACCATCAAAATCACCGAGTAGGGGAAACTTTCCCCTTCCCGATGATGTTGTTGGTTTGCGTGGGCAACCTTCAGTTGGCGAGAAAAGGGCCTACAAAGGTTTGTTTACCAAAATCTTGTATGCCCTTTTCACATGTGGCTCTTGTTTTTTTTATTTCAAAACATTTTATAAACGGATTTGGCAGGAACATTTTGTTTGCAACTTATTTTCGATACAGTCCTTATGACAAAAGGTCGAATGGACAAAAGGTCGAATTCACAAAAGGTCGAATGAGGAGAAGGGAAACAAACGGTCGAATTGACAAATAGTCAAATGGAAAAAAGGTCGAATGGACAAATGATCGAATGGATCAAAGAGGGTCCTGTAACGCGATGTAACTGTAACTGATGGGACCCCCCGTTGCCAAGCCTCAGGGTCGGCAATCGCTCGTCACAATTCCGCAAACCAAGAAAATACTTAATGTTCACTCAAGACGAAACTCCCACTATATGTTTTAGTGGTGTACACTTTTATTTATAAACACTTCACGGACATCTATCACGGTTCTACTACTCAATTTCTTAATTGCGTACTGCTACCTTGTGCTAGCACTACTCTTCGTTTTGTTTTCGTGGTCTCTTTATCTGTCACTGCCGTCGTCGTCGTTCCTCTCCTTCCTTTGGTACAGCATCACCTTCTTGTGCCAGGAATGGACGCCTCTACCTGTCCCGTACGCCCCTCGAGTATGGTGACGGACTCGAGGCTTCAACGAACCACAAGGGTTGGCTTGCCTGGATTGGTGGCGCACACTGTACACACTCAGAAATTTTTACCGTACTCGGTAATTTTTTACCGAACTTTCAACAGCTGAACGTTCGGTAATCAGTTCGGTAAACGAAATGCCTACCGAACGTTCGGTAAACCAATTTTTTGATGAGCTGTCAAAATTACCGTACGATTTGGTACTTTTTTGCGAAGCGATTCGGTAATTTTTTACCGAACTGTTCTGTTAAACTGATTTTCCCACTATTTTTTAATTTTACTACCGTTTTCAGTTAATTTGAATTAAAAAGTCTTGAAATAATATTTATCAGTTTTTATTTAATTTTAAAACCGTCACTGCACTTGTGATACGTGCAATATAAAATGTATTTGACGCCGAAATGTGTTAGAGCCCGATGTTATGCGATACAGTCCAGATAAATAACCTGCAATCAAATCATGCTATCGCTGAAAATGCCTGGAAAATAATTGGATTTGCTAAATAAACAGTTACTCACGAAATATGTCGGTGATCCATTGATCGTGGTCAAGAATATTTATCCTTACCTGCTGCACTTGATTCCGGATGCACTATTTACCATTCACTAGTAAATAAAGCCTCTCCAGATTTGACAGTTTGATAGTACAAAATTTCGGTAAAATTGCTTGTGATTTACGGTTTGTTCGGTAATTTTTTACCGAATTCGGCGTTTTGGCTTATTTTACAGATCGTTCGGTATTTTTTTACAGAGTTCATCAAATTTATAATCAAACTACCGAAACTTCGTTAAAATTTTACCGAATATTGGTGAAATTATTTTTGTTTACCGAAAAATCTGTAATATACTAAATTTACCGATTATTTCCGGTAAAAAATTACCGAACAAGCAAAACGTAGCTGAGTGTGTAGCTGTAGGATCAGGATAACGAACTGCGATTCGGACACACTGCCAGCGATTGGCGTGGTCGACTCCGAAAAATACGTTAATACCGTAAACGATACGCTAAACCACGATGTGGACACGATGGAGAATTCAAAATGACGGTTAGTTAGGCACACGATCGGTTCTCAGTAGGCGCTGGTCGGGTCAACTTGGCAACTTCTTCTATTCAGGGGAAACATGTCAGAAGGGTCTAACTATAAACGTAAACAATGACTTGGATCGTCGGTTTCATACGAATGACAACACTCCCACTCAAACTAAATAAATCATCTGATGTTGTTGTTGAGCAATGTTTGTTCTATGAGCTGGTGTAGTCAGATTCTGTGAGTGTGTGATCATTCAAGAGAAATCGGCGTTCATTGTTTACGTTTAGAGTTATACCCTTCTGACTTATCTGATTATCTCTGATCTCTGATTGTCGTACCGAACGTATGATTGATTCGTTGACGTCGAAATCATTTATATATTTGATGTTTCTGTTTGATATGACGAAAATGTCTCTTCCTTTTTTATTTTATCCAAATATAGCTGAACACTTCATGAATTGTAACAAGCCTTTCCTAACATTGTCCATCGCTCTTATTTCCTTCTCTAGGAACATGCATGAGACTACAATTATCATGCTTCCGAACGGGACTAACACAAACGGAAACCATCTGAGCACCAATCAACCGGATAGAGATGGAATCTGCCCGTCGTAATAGGAGTGCCATTTTAACAGATAAAACGCTGACAAAAATATCACATGCAACCTTGTGCAGTCCATGGCACGTTTAAGTGCTCCGACCAAAGCATACATATAATACCACATGACTTTGTTAAAGATAGGAGGATACACTTCACACACAACACAATTGGCGGTATCAATCACGAAAAATGTCAACCGCACATCGCAATCATCATCTATTTCAACCCCTCATACTCAAACACACGAAAGGACCAAGAGGATGGCGTTTCACTTAGTTAGAATTAAATGAGAAACCTGGCCGGAGATTTATCTAAATTGAGAAGAAGCGGCTCTAGAATCTGTTGCTCCAGCAATCAGAACAGAAGGTCGGGTCCACATCGGTCGGCAAACAACAAACTGGGTGCGACCATTGTTCGGAGACAATGCGATAAGTCGTCAGAAAAGATGGTAGAAAAACGACGAGTCCTTCTCGTTTCACCAGAAGGCGATTCACGTATGCTCTATACTAGCTTGCGGTAAACGGTGCTTATGTTTTCTGTGTAAGTAAGGGTCCTGCTGCACATCCGATGCAAAGGATAGGCCAAGCTAATTGTTCCACTGGTCGAACAATCTGAAAAGCGACTTTCCCAAGAAAACACAAAAAGGTCCGGCAAGCGGAAAAAACACGACCAGATAACAGAAAATAATTGGGTCTAATTACGCTTTTCGCCTCCTAGTCATTCGGAATGTGGCCTTGTAAATGTGATAAAACACTACACAGCTACATGGGTGTTACGCCAAGAGCGTGAGAGGGGTGTGTGTGCCTGATTTCTAGGCCACAACGAGTATAAGTTCAGCATTTAAAACTACTATCTATGCTACAGATTATGGAATGCAACCGACAACAAAGAGAATACATTTATATTACTTTCGCTGTTAGGTTTTTCCCCAATCACCACTAGGGTAAACGCTCGTATAGTTGCGGTACGTTAGAAGTGTTAGGTTCCTATAGTTGTGTATTGAGTCTCCATGTACAACTATAAGAACCTAACGCTTCTAACGTACCGCAAATATAGGAGTGTCTCCCCTACTGTAAATCTAGGTTTGCTGCTTTAATCAAGTCAAATTAATTCACCTATATAGCATACTTATTCCAATGATTCCGTCATTACACACATAATACAGAAAGAATATGGCCTTTTTGATTCAACTATAACAAACACATTGTCAATTATTAAATTTACATGAAAAGACCATTCTAGCAACTAATAGTAAACTGAACACTTCACTTTTTAGCGATGGCCTGTCTAATAATGCACATGAAATCACTGGAATTACCAATAAAATCACTGGAATTACCAAATCAAATCCATTGATTGATATGCAAAGAATTATATAAAATTTTGAAACACATAAACGTAACTGGTGTTCATTTTACATTTACTCCCCCTGTTTCCCTACACTCTATTTCAATTCTAATCAGATATTGAATAGAATTTTATTGCCACCTACCAGTGTGTACTGAAAAGTTGATGCTAAAACTGTGGCGAAAATGGGACCGATATCACAGCAAAATAATAATAATGATCATGATGTTACACAAAATACGACAAAAAGACTGAGTGTGTCGTTGCTGGTTTATTATTAAAAGGAAATCTTTTTGACGATTAAGGTTGTTTTAGGCTTTAATGACGTCTTTTGGCCTTTTAAGGTCCATTTAACGTTATAAGGCCATTTCCCATCGATTTTACACAATTTCTAAATTTTGAAGTCATTGACGGGTTGCCCACCAGCTAAAATTGTATAGAATCACAGATAATTGAGGGACACATATTTTCTTCAGCAAAGTTGTACTTTAAATATTAAGTCTTCGTGCACTACATTGAAAATGTCGTAGACACTTTTATAAAAAGCTGAGTCGATTGGTGTAAGTACACAAATTGATCTTTTGCTGAATCTTTACACTCAGTTGATGAAACTTGGTTTTACTTATAGCAATTGAAGTCGTCATCATTGGAGCCAGGTTTGAAGGATTACAACGCGATCATGAACGGTGTGATGTCATATGAGAGGCTCGGGGGCCTTAACACGATCGTGTTTGCTTACTGAGCAGAGCATGAAGGGTTTGATATCAGGTCCCTTCACATTCAAGATTCGATAGTCGCTTTCTTTTATTAAATGAATAGTTCATTGAACACATCATTTTAATTCAGCCGACCGTTTGCCAAAACGAACACTGTAGAAAAACCGAACCTATTTATCCAACATCCCAGTTATTTCTCGTGAAAGTGCAGAAGATTTCTCAGCTTCAAACAAAGCGAGTAACACGTCAACACATTCCTACTCATTCCTTAAATGATCTGCATTTGGAGATCACCCGTTTTTACATATTGAGGACGATGGCAACTTCTGTTCGTTATATGTGCAAATACAGATGAGCTGGCAATACCGGATTAGCAACCTTGGGCGATCAACCATGCTAATGCTTTCTTCTCGTTATCCCTGTGGCTGCGCGCTTAATACGATCGTGTTTCTTAAAGTTTATTTAAGTTTTGAGCCGGTCAAATTCGGGATTCGTGGAACAAGTAAGTTGAAGAGTTGAGAGTATTGAAGGTTTTTATTTTAGCCCTTTCCTGATCAAATGAATGCAAAGGTGGTGCAATTTGAATTCTTGGTGTATGAATTTGCAACATTGGACATCGACCGTGGATTGATTTGGTGAGTTCGTTCCAGTTGAAAAATATTTCTATTAATTTATTATCATTGCTGTTATCGATACGCTTTCGTTACCTGGTGGGTAAACCGCGATCACGTGTGATCTGTTGTTCAGATGATGTGGTTTGGTACGTTATTTGTCTGTGGTAAAATAATGCTAGCTCTTTTTTCTCTTCACCGATGGCAGACACGAAGCGACTGCTGCCAGCCGTTATGGAAAATTCGATTGCGTTCGGGTGTAAAGCCAAAATCATGAAATTCAATCTCACCACAGCTTGGTGAGATTTGCAGCTGGTGAGTTTTGTTAGCTTCATATTCCGAGCTGCGTTATCACAGCTTGCAATATCAACCGCAGTTGCTTGCTTGTTGATTTTTGTCTGCGAAAATCAAGCGTGATCTTGTTCTTTGATGAAATTAGATTTTTTGATACCTTTCCAACACTGTTTCAGATGCAGTTTTCTTGCACTATAATTCAATGATAAAATAAATCGATTATATTGGTAAATCGATTTTTTTTTTCATGTGCATAATCGAAGACGATAACTATTTATGAAAAATATATTTGATTATTTGAAAAAATACGACATCCAGATACGTTTATCTTCATTTTCAATAATTTAATAATACTGATTGATAATTTGTCGTTTGTTTTGGTAGGTTTTATGGCTCTTACTGACTTTTCATGTGATTTGTGTCATTTTGTTACATGTTATCACTTTGTATCGTAGCATATTTTTACAAATCCATCTCGCAAAAACTGAATGAAACTCAGCAAATTTTATTTTTAATTGAAAGCTTAGGGCTAGCGTATACTTTGTGATTAACATAACCGTTATGTAAGCTTATAAAAAAATATGGAAACCTCATGTGTCCGACTAGTTTTTGCAGTGATCACTCCTTAAGAACAATGTGAAACAAAAAAGATAAAAGGCATAAGCTACTTGTTTTTTCGAACGCCCTAATTAAAATCGGAGAATTGCTCTAACATGGTCAAACGAAGAGCTAAAAAAATTAAGGCGCCTGAAAAGGTTCTTGGTATCAAATTCCTACTTTGGTTGAAATAGTTGTAGCCATAACTGGTTCATCTCACCTATAAAATTACAATTTGAGGTTCAACTTTTAGTAGTATGACGAAGACTTGCAGAGATAAAAACAGCCTACAAGCTGTCAGACAGTATGTTGTTATGTTTTGGATTTCATGAAAAACATGAAATTTTCGATTTTTTGTGAAGACTTCAAAAATCAATTACTTAAATTTAAAAAAATGGTTGTTCCTCAGTGTAAACTTCAAATGTTTGCTCGTTGACTTTCAGATACCATTTCAAGAAAATTAATTATCTGCCTACCGTCGTGACATTTGTACATTTGAAGACTTATACTTTTGTGTATATACTAATCTTAGCTTTCCAATCTCAGGTGATGTCAACAAAAGTTGATATGGAACTCATTAACATTTGAAATACAGGTCGGACTCGATTATCCGGGGTTCGATCATCCAGAGTTCGATTATCCGGGGTTCGATTATTTGGAATTTTAGGCTCGATTATCCGAAGTATTTTTTAAAGTTTTTTTTATTTTTTATGCAAAAATTTGAAATAATTTAGTATTATAAAATACAATGGGGGTTATTCCGAGAGTCGAAGTGACTTTTGTCATTAGTGAAGTGAGAAAATCACGTCGTGGTGACGTGACTCTCTGTGCAAATCAAATTAAGAGTCACGTCAACACTACGTGACTTTTCTCACTTCACTAGTGACAAAAGTCACTTCGACTCTAAGAATAACCCCAATATGATTATTTCAACAATATTGGACGTAGCTAGGAGGAGAGGGCTGAAAAAGGTTGTTTTGTGTATTGAAACTCGTTTATCCGCAGTGTATATCAAATTCATTAATTAAAATGCATATATTTATTTTATATTCATTCATAATATGAATACAGTGGTGATCCGATTTTGTCAGCTTTTTGACCCAATTTTGTCAGGCTGTAGGATTAAATTATTTCGTTTGAGGTGAACTGTTTTCTACACTTGTTGAAGATATTATATTAATTGCTGTACTCTATAGTGACATTCTTCGAAAATTATATTCGGAATATGGACGCTGAACACCACAGGGTGACCCTTTGGAAGATCCGAAACAGCCGTAAAAGTGGTCAATTCATCAAATTGGTCTTAGAGCTTCGCGTTTTTTTTTTTTTTAATCACTTGTTGATGTGTTGTAAGAATAAATTTCAAGTTGTGACAGGAATATGGCAAGTGAAGGCCTCAAGGTTTTCTTCCTTAACGCGAAGCTTACCATCACGAAAATATAGTATTAGTTTTGCCACGTTCATTCTGAGAACACACCAACAAGTTCATTAAAAAAAACACGAAGCTCTAGGACCTGTTTCATAAACATACCACTTCTACGTTCGTTCCAAATATCCCGAATGAACATACTGTAGTCCTCAAGGTCTATTTCCCGGTCACAATTTGAAATTTTACGGTTGTTCTGGAAATTCCGGAGGGTAACACTGTGGCCCCAGTGTCCTTGTTCGGGTCACGACTGAAAATGGGTAGGTTTTTTTTTCAGTCTGAGGCGGGTCATTGGCTAATTTATTTTTTTCTTTTCAAGATCCCATCATACAAGTAAAATAACAAAAATAGATCAATTTTACGTGCTTTAATTCCAGATTTGATTTTTTTTTTTGTGATTCGATTATCCGGAGTATTCGATTATTCGGAGTGAAAAAAAAAATCGATCTGGATAATCGAATCCGACCTGTAAAAGAATTATAATTTAAAAATAACTATTTGAAGGGACATCCTATTTGAAATCATAAAAACTGTCATAGATAAGTTCTTCAGTTCTTCAACAAAGTTTATTTAAATTACTCAGTCTACAAGTTTGTACAAGGTTTCAAAGTTAAATTTTTATTTTTGTATATTTTTAAGAACCACCCTTTTTGCAACTTTCATTTAATAAAGGCGCCTTTTTGGTGACCAAGGTCTTACTATAGGCAACAACTTAACAAGAGGCACTATGCTGATTTCAATATCTGGTGTCAAATATTTGTGTCCTCCTTATTTTCATTGTTGGATCACTGTAACCACAATTTCAAAAACCCATTCATTCATCCCTGAGCAATTTCTTAATGGGTTCAAGTTAATCCCAGGAAACAGACAGAAAACGTTTTTCAGAGCATGAACGAATTGTTATCATTGATCATCATTATGGGATTCTTAAA